AAAGATCTTTATAAAAAAAATATTCACTCAGAATACTGTTTGGCATCTTGTGGCATCTGTGGCCCCTCATCGAGCCATTTACTTCATCAATGACCTCACATTTTACCCAAATGTACAAGAAAGACAAATAATCTGGACCCGTGGATATTGAGTTATTCAACAACGTAGGTGTGGTCCAAAAAAATCCAATACTGATATAAAATAATAATTGTTAAAATTATAAGATTTTATAAGATTTGATTGATGCAAGCAAGCGGCTTTACTTGTAAGTTGTTTTTGAGACGTTGACAAGTTGAAATTGAATTTTTGACTTTTCCTATAATATATAAATTGAACTAGATGAGGTTATTTATTTTTATTTGTCGTTTGTTTTGGACAAAGTATTTCGAATGAGCTAACTTATTTACTTATTAAAAAAAACTCTATAAATTAAGATTCAAGATATTTGGAACGCACTAAGCGTGTGTAGTTATCGTGAGGTAAAGAAGGCTTATGTGTGCGCTATTAGTGAAGAATATCAAGAATGATTCAGGTTGCTCATTTCATATAAGCCTATATAAAAACTGGTTCACTGCATATACTAGTATAAATGATGGGCTAGTTAAATTAGGAAACAACATAAGTTTCCACGTTAAAGGAATTGACAAAATTGTCTTAAATTTACATAATGACTATGTTTCAGTACAAGAAAGTATTATGTACGTCCCAAATTTAAGAAAAAATATAATATCCGTAAGGATCCTAGATAAAGAAAATTCAAAAATAATTCCCAAACATAAATCGGACAGAATGAAAACAAGTTATAAATGTTATTCAAATCCATTTTCTCCGTCACTTTAAATTTTGGTCAAAGAAAATAAAAATTTGAAATTATAAGTTAATGTTGTTCACTGAGTACTTTACAATTTTCAAAGACAAAATAATTTAAGCTGACTATGTCTGAAGGTCCGAGGAGTGGAGGTGGTATTGAAATTGCAATGACAGACGAGGTTCGATGGTGGCGTAATGGCAATCACTCTGCAGCAGTGTTAGCGAAAAATGAAACTTTAAGTTTTAATTAGTTGAAAATTTGATTGGAAAGTGAAGATTTGTAGTAGATATGATAATTTGTAGAAAAATTACAGACAAATTTGAAGAATTAGAAGTGTTAGAATTTTGGTAAAAGAAGCAAGGGAAAGAGTCGTGAGAAAGAGAGTTTGAGAGAAATTGCTCGGATCTCTTGTTAATTAAAACTAACTGTTGACTTTGATTTAAATTAAAATTTAGATTTTAATCTATACCAAACAGTGCTTTGTATGAATAAAAATCCCCTGCCGTCGTTCATATTTTTATTTATCGTTTGTTTTGGACAAAGTATTTCGAATGAGCTAACTTATTTACTTATTAAAAAAAACTCTATAAATATATATAAAAATTAAGATTCAAGATATTTGTAACGCACTACGCGTGTGTAGTTATCGTGAGGTAAAGAAGTCCAAATTGAATTCATGAATTTGAATATTTTCTTTTTCTGTGGGCCTAGAAGAGATAATTTTGAATGTGCATTACTATTTACTTATTTGGTGGGCTATACTCAATAAAGAAATGCAATAAGAACAGAGTTTTTGCACAGATTTTGTACAAGAAGAGTCTTCCTATGATTGGTTGTTGTCGAAAACAATTTTTTGGAATATCGAGTCAACGTAGAAAACCAGGCTCTCAACAAAGTAAAATCACAAGTAAGAGCTTGTTTTCCCAATCCTATAAATTAGTAAATTAATATTTTGTTTTCAAGCCTATTTGAAATTTTTGTTTTCTCGTAAAAAGTAATTATACTATTTTTATGGGTTTAATGGTGCAATAACCCCCATTGTATTGATCTATTGTCAAACACCCCTTACAATTTTTAATTGGCTGAAAACCCCCTATACGAAATTTGAGGTGTGAAAACCCTCATTTCTTTTATTTTCTCAATAAAGTCTTGGGAAATGATAAATGTACCCTCATATTTAAATAAAATAAAAAGAAAAAAAATAAAGAATCCCAAATAAATAATTAAAATATAAAATATAAAAAAGTTCCTCTCTCTCTTCCCACACCACTACCACCACCTCCCTGCTCCGCCACCTCCATTCTAGCCTTCGGCACCCCATACTCCAGAGAATGACGCAGACATTTTGACATATGAGGCTCAATCAAATTTATACAGCACGAATGTTTTGTTCTAAATTGGCACCCCATCCTCCAGTGATTGACGCTGACATTTTGACTTATGAGGCTCAATCAAATTTATACAGATCGAATGTTTTGTTCTTAATTATTGAATGACTCATACTTGATTCGAGAAAATACATATTTACGTTTAAAGATTATTCCTTCATTAATGTTCATTGCTTTCATCCATTTTATTTCTAGCATTCATTCCATTATATTTTGTTCATCACAAGAAAACGCAGATTTACAATTAAAGAATTTTTAGTGAATTTGATACAAACAACCAATTAAAATAATTAATTCAAGTAATCGAAAGGAAAAACATACAACCAATATTCAATACTAATAAGTAATTCAAATAAACACAATTCGATAAATATAAGCCAAGTTGGATATAATCATTCCAGACTCATTCTGTATATACAAAATTCAAAAATAATTCCCAAACATAAATCGAATAGAATAAAAACTTGTTATAAATGTAATTCAAATCTATTTTCTCTATCACTTTAAATTTTGGTCAAAGAAAATAAAATTTTGAAATTATAAGTTAGTGTTGTTCACTGATTACTTTACAAATTTCAAAAACAAAATAACTTAAGTTGATTGTGTCTAAAGGTCTCAAGAGTGGAGGTGGTGTTGGAATTACAATGACAGACGAGGTCGATGGTGGCGTAATGGCAATCACTTTGCAGCAGTGTTAGCAAAAAATGCAACTTTAAGTTTTAATTAGTTGAAAATTTTATTGGGAAGTGAAATTTTATTGGTATAATAATTTGTGGAAAAATTACAGACAAACTTTGAAAAATTAGAAGTGTTAGAATTTTGGTAAAAGGTGCGAGGGAAAGAGTCGCGAGAGAGTTTGAGAGAAATTGCTTAGATCTCTTGTGATTTTTTAGCTGTTTGGTAGGGATTAAAATTAACTATTGACTTTGATTTAATCTAAAATTTAGATTTTAATCTATACCGAATAGTGCTTTGTATAAATCAAAATAAATAAAAATCCCCTGCCGTCGTTCATGCCTATTTGAAATTTATATTTTCTTGTAAAAATTTGTTTTCAAAAGTAACTATACATGTTTTTTTTTTTTTTAACAGCAACTATACTTTTATTATCAAAGTAAGTACATGTTATTTGTAGCTGAACACTTTATACTTAGCCAAACGGCTTTAAATAATTAGCAAAAGTAGAAAATGTGAAAAATAGACATTATATACACGGTCAACTGCAAACCGAAGTACTCATTCTTGCTTGGACGAGTCTAGAGACATTAGGATAGAAATTATTAGTACACGTTGAAAGAGTGTGCTAATTGCTAAGTGTATTTTTCAAAAAATTCAAGTCTTATTATTACCGAAGTTAAAAAGTTCAACAGTAGTAGTTGCATTCCTGGTTGCATTGTATTTTTATCATCCCTCACGGGAAAAATATTGTGACTTGGCTCTCCTAAAAAAGGGAGAAGTGACTATCAAAGAGAGCTATCTCTTGATGCTAGTTTCTTTTTATCATCAAGGTTTGGAATCCTAGTTTTGAAGTTTTTGCCCAATGGGATGGTTAGACCATAGCTTGCTCCTAAAAAATCGAGATAACTCTCAAAGGTACTCTGCATGCTGGGCATACATCTTCCTCGTCTTTCTTTCTGGGGAGTTGAAACAGATATTTTTGAAACAACATTATTGAAGATCTAGTACTTGAAAGTCTATCTTGTATTTATCAAGATTCATTATTCTAACTGACAATGATTTCAACTTTAAATGTATTCATATTGTGAATATAGTTAAATGAGCTGACACAAGAGATGAATTGGTGTCCAAAGACTATTTCATATATTAGATATTTAATAAAAATAAATGAATCGTATTCACAATATAAAGAATGTGACAAAACTAATTAATCGGCATGATTGTGACATATGACAAAAATAATGAAATGAAAGCTGGTATGCATAGATATCATGATCCAACTTGTCAAAGTTTTACACTAGTACAAATAATATTTTTCTTTTGTTTTTTAAGAGGCGGACCCTATCCTAGCCCAAGGCTACCTAAGCAGTGGCCTTACGTCTCAAGATGTGTGGGGCCTCGAATTTTTATTCTTCGGAAATGATTTTGGATAATAAATAGTAGTCACCATCATTGTATTTCACTGAATTTTAAAAGCCCTTCGTATTTTATTTTTTTAATGTAAGAGAATTGATTCTGTCAAGAGAAATTATTGTTTGAATGGATTATGAATGATATGTACAATGTTTTTCTTAAAAATTATGATAGAACTTTTCTAATCTTAGTAAGACTTTATCCATTCCATTCAAACATGACTATTAACTTTCCATTTGATTATTTTTTGGGATATGCACAATGTTTTTCTTACCATTTGTTTGTATTCCAGAGAGCAATTGCAGAACGCAACCTCCGATTAAGAAATGGTCAAAAATAAGTGACGTAGGAAACCTCATAAAGATTGGGTCTAGAATGTTGTTTCTATTCTTACACAAATGAAAATATCATTGATATGGAAAATTGTTATGAGTTGACTAGTCTTTTTAAATACTCATTACGTACTTCCTCTTGTTGGAAGTGCTCTATACCGTCGAAGAAATATAGCACTTCGATTTCTATTTAAATTGTTTAGGCATATATATTTACCTTATTACCTATACGTCTCTCCAAAAAAACCAAAAAAGAAAAAAAAAAAAAAAAGTCGAACCAAAACGAAAATAGAATGTAACTGGATGTGCATTATAATACAAATTTGAATGTTTTGAATGGCATGCCTAATAATTCTAAAACAATACGAGCATTTTCACTTAATAAATCAGAACAAGGGATCCACACGACAAAATAACAATACAAAGGGCAGAAGAAAGAAGTGTATGTCTACCACGTTGAGAGGGAAGTACCTTCCTCAAGAACATTCCTTCAAACAATGGATAATTGATCAATATGCCGAATAATGGGATGAAAAGTTGTATAAACATCTCGCTCGCTTGCTGAACATGGAAAATCTTTGCGACTCCAATTATAAAGACGACTAAATTTAGAATGTATAAGGTGCACAATGGAGCTAATAACAGAAATGATGCTCGAAAATCATAGATTCCCATTTGATAAAGTTTGGACTGTTCATCGTTTACTGCCTTATTTGTTGGCAGGAAACTGGCTTCTCTTAATCCAATAATCTCCAAAATGCCATTTAAAGTTCCATACATGTAACAGGTAAGTGACCTTAGCATCCAAATTCTCTGTTCTATAGCCCATGTTCGTATTGAATGTCCAGTCGAGATGACCTCTTGTATGTGTTTGAGTTGAGATGAGAGGAATAGGAATGAAAACACGATGAAAAATGGGTTCGATACCTTAAAAATGAAGTAATCCAGTGTTAGCAAAGTATGGTCAAATATAAAATCTTATGGTCAGAATCTACATGACTACGATGGTACGTTTGATAACTTGGATTAGATAGAATTCAACATTAAATAAACTGTTCAACATTGTTAAATGAATATATAAGTTAAAGTGCTGTTTACTATCGTGTCCCGTGTGATCTAAATACTGCATACTCAACATGCTATAAAATCCTAAAAGTCTTTTGCTTGTTGCAACGAAGAATGCTTCAAAACGCACCTTGGGATAGAGATGAATGCCATGAAGCAGACAGAGTTGAGGAATAATGGCTAGACAATAAATAGGCAAGAAGATTAAAGAATCATAGGCAAATTTTGCATAACACATGCTTTGGAGAATCGACATTCTCAGTGGCCCGTATATAAGAGGAGAAAACCTCGAGACAGCAACTTCCACCAATCCGGCTACCCATCGTGTGTATTGAACAAAAATCTCATTGAGATTTGTAGTAGCTGAACCCAAGAAACATGGCCTTGCTGGATCCAAATAAACTGAAATCCAGCCATTGCAATGTAAATTTAAGCCAGTAAAGTAGTCTTCCACCACAGAAAAATATCTGAATCCCACCTGCACATGGTGCATCAACATTCACGACTTCAATAACATGTAATAGTCTATTCGATATAACGGATTGCGAGAGCGAGCGAGGGGGTGTTTTCGAAATCTTGTTCCTACCTCTTTGCCCCATTTAGTGTTACTGTCGTAACTACAAGAGGCTAGAAATTTTATTTCTTTCAGCAATACACCAGAAACCTCTTTATCCTTCAACGCATTTGGTTTGTAATTTCGTTGAAGTGATTTGATGAACTCATTGGAGGGACCAAATGACTTTTGTAGCTGGACAAGATCAACATCTGCTTATAGAGTAAAAGCAAGAATCTTTTATCGAACAGCAGTGGAGACTATGGTTTTCTAAGAAAAAAAACGCACGGATTTCGATTTGAAATAAGAATTCTGTCAAAGTAGTCATATGAATCATTATACCCTCTTGAATGTCGGAAGTTCGATAGAGCACTTCCCTCTTTATGTAAAAACCGGTACCAGCTAACATAGACCCCCTAAGCCCATCCACACCTTCGAGTTTCGGCTGAGTAATTTTGTGGCGAAAGGAAAAATTAGTTGATTAAATAGGAAGAAATGTACCATAAACACATGGCTGAAAAGTGAAAAGGTTTCAGTATGATACCCAAACAAATCTCAACTGACTGTCGTAGATGTCATTCTCACTGATATTGTGAAATTTCTGTGGGAACTGAACAAAACCAAGTTTTGGGGATATTTTGGAATCAAGAAAGAAACACATTGCTTGGCGGGCTGATGTCGGATCGTTGCAGTACATATCACAGTCCAACACTAGTATGTATGGAGAATTGCTGATATAACCAGATACCCGAAGCTGCAAATTATACGTGAATAATCAAATAATTGGAAGAAAACAGAGAAATGAGGAAATAAACACGTGCAAGCGTAAATATTAGGATATGGATTCTCAGGGAGAAACAGTTGTATACAAGGACGTTGAGCGCTCCAGCTTTAAAATGATGCGGATGAAAAGGCCTTTTTTCACGAGAAACGTAAACAAGGAGAGGCATCTCTGTTTCATCTGGACCCACTCCACAATTTTCATCGTTAATCGCCTAGCAAAGAAAAATTCCACAAGTCAGAACAATTTGTTGGACATAATCTATTTGTGAAGCCATGACTCCGAGTAAAATCACATGCCCCCATTGACAAAGGATACACATAGTACATGCAATACAAAGATTCCCTCGTTTAGGTGCCTCGAGGTCATAGAAAATAGTCAGATTCTTTAAAAATCAGCACAAACCTGAATTAAAGGATCATGATCTCTGCTAGTAAAACTGCTCGTATTTTCTACTATCTTCAGTATTCTGCACTTGAACTCTTCATACTTTTCCTGCACAAATGCCCCATTATTTCAGATGGACCATGTAAAGACCTATATATTTCAGACAGATCTATGGAAGAAACATTGAAAAATGTAACAATATATTAAATTCACAACCTCAATTTTCTTTTTCTCAGCAATGAATTCAGTGCTGCTAAACTTTTCATTTCCCTCCTCACTTTCGTCTGCTAAAAAATAAGCCTCGGGGCACCTCGTCTTCACCTCGTATTTCCTGCAAAACGGTATCCACCATTTCAAGAATTTCCAGGCTTCTTTAACTGCCTGGAAAGTCACAGATGAACCTCCATCATCCGAAAGATACACATGAAGTTTATCAGCAGGATAGTCCAGGGCCATTGCTGATATAAGAGTGTTCATAACATCTACACTAGGCTCTTTTATGGGATTTGCAGTGCAAATAAACACATCAATGGATGGAAGTTTATCATTTCCAGGCAATCTTTCTGGAAAAACCTTTCTGGAAATCGGGTTCCATTGAAAAGCCTGGCTCAAAAGCCAAAGAAAAGAGAGTATAAGCTCAGAGAGAAACACTAAAACATGGGGCAAAAATGGTGTGTTTTTGTCCCTGAATTTGGTAATTTGGAACAGAAAATTTGTTCTATAATAAATCAGGGCCAAAAGAGCAAAGCCATGAGTAAAAATATGCAGCCTGTTTATGATTAGATTAGTTTTTTTGACACGACAAAGATTGAGAGGAAGTGTGTTCTCCATCGTTTTGTTTTTGCTATTCACTGGGTTTACAAGGTACAATATATCATATACTTGTATAGAAGAGAGAGCTTGATGGACCCTTTATTTAATCAATCATGCTTGGCTGACAATAATTTTTTGTCATCTTGACTATTTAAAAAAGTAACATTGACATCCAATCACTTTTTTGCCATAATTTAAATTGTCAGAATTTGCTAAAGATGAATGTTTTTCGATCAAAATTGATAAAAAAAAAAAAAAAAAAAAATTACGGATGAATTGCCTATCCATCTAATATCCGCCTAATAAAAGTTGAGAAATACTTCGTTCGTGCATGGTTTTCATTTTTAAAATTATTTTTTTCTTAAACTCATTATCAACCCCACATTTTATAGAATCCATAATTTTTATCAATTTCTCAATAACATATTTCTTCAATTTTATTTAATTGATTAAAAATCTGTTTTTAACTAAATTTAATTCATTTTAATTCATTTGGGCAGGATCAACTTACTATTGACCACAAAAAGTACAATCATTTTCTAATAATTATTCATGATGTTATCGTATCCCTGGCAGCTATGTGTCCGACCTTACTCGAGATTGAAACCAATTTCAGTTTAACACACGTCACGAATTGAAAAAAGGAAAATGGTAGTAAGAATAACAATCTTAAAATTTAAGTGTATCTTTGAAACTTAAAATGATATAACTCGTTTCAAATTATTTGGCACGAGTAAGTCAAGAAGGGAAACTTAGATTCATAAAATTGTACAATTTTCGTAATTAGGTACTTACCATTAAATATGTACTAAAAGAAAAAAAAAATCTACATTTTTTGTCAAAATGAAATTTGTCTCCCGCAAATTTTTTGTTAAATATGTTTATTTAGTCATTCAAAACAATTATAGTGCCATTTTTATTACTTGTAGTCTAGATAGAGTTGAAGAAGACTAGAGTGTATAAATGAACTTGAAACTTTCTTTCAACTATTCATAGTATGACAAGAATACATAAATGGTTCAAAAGTTGTGCAAAGAGGAAGAGAGAGAGAGTTTTTTAATATACTAAAAATTCTCCTCAAGTTAGCCTAATTTAGTAAGAATGTCTAAATGATTCCAAATTCATACTACAAATTTGACGCACTTTAAAAAAAACAAAAAAAATGGCACATTTATCAAAATTTTCAAAAGATGGATGTTTTTCGAACAAAATTGATAAAAACAAATTACGGATGAATTGCCTATCCATCTAATATCCGTCTAATAAAAGTTGAGAAATACTTCATTCGTGCATGGTTTTCATTTTTAAAATTAATTTTTTCTTAAACTCATTTTCAATCCCACATTTTATAGAATCCATAATTTTTATCAATTTCTCAATAACGTATTTCATCAATTTTATTAAATTGATTAAAAATTTAATTTTTAACTAAATTTAATCCATTTTAATTCATTTGGGCAGGATCAACTTACTATTGACCACAAAAAGTACAACCATTTTCTAATAATTATTCATGATGTTATCGTATCGCTGGCAGCTTTGTGTCCGAACTTACTCGAATTGAAAAAAGGAAATTGGTAGTAAGAATAACAATCTTAAAATTTAAGTGTATCTTTGAAACTTAAAATGGTCAATAGCAGATTTGAGAATTTTCGAGTTCTCTTATTATATCTCAATCTTAGAGTTCGTAAAGTTCTTTAAAATTATTATAATTATTTTTTGATAATTATTTTTATATGTAACACATTTGAGGGTGACGAAGACAATTGAGTTACAAAGTTTTAGAAAAAAATTGATTAACTTGAAACATAAAACGATATGGTTTTAACAAATTGCGTAGAACTTGCTTTCGGAAAGCAAAGAAATTCGACATATTTTCTACAAAATATGTCGATTTGAACATCAAGATTCAATCAATAATCATTTATCACGTACTCCATGCTCCATCCAAATGGTGACATAATCATATGCATAGGCCCCTACCCACCACTGTACGCATAGATAGGGTGAGCACATAGGTTAAATATATAAGAGAAATGCTATAAGTACACGGTTTAGCTATCTTCCCGTCCAAAATCTATGCAAAGTTTCATGTACCTGCAAATTTATTCTCCCATATATTAGTGCAAAACCATGTACTTATAGCATTTCTTTTATATATAGAATAAATCTGGAAATTTTGCACAGGTTTTGTGTGATTTGATTTTGCCAAAAATACCAATCTTGCTCTAGTTTTGTTTCGAGGCCACTCAACTTTTAATAAAATTTCAATTTTCATTTCTTCCAATTTATTCACCAATTTATATATCCATCCAAACATTTTCTTTTTCTTATGTGATAGACAAAATTGAAGACGTTGATAAGTGTAATTTATACACTTATCTAGGTTTTTAAATAAGAATATATGGAAGTACTTTTGATGAATGGTAAAATTTGATGATTGAACGTAAAATTGGAAGAAAGAAACGAAAATGGTGAAAAGGGATAATTTGTAAAGTTTGAGGGACCAAAGTTTCAATATTCAATAGTTAATTTGGACCACAAAATGAGGATTGAAAATCAAATGGAGTCAACAGGAAGAGAATAGAAGACAAATGAAGTAAAAAAAATATTAAAAAAAAAAAATCATCTGCCATTACGTGTACAAGGGCAAAAAATCTCACCTCTCGATGTTAATTTCAATTGCACGTGTGTTGGCAAACAGATGTAGCATGTGTGAGTATTGACCAATTTTTTTACGGACAGGGCCAACTTTTCTTTTTTATACAAACTCGTTTGAAATCCAGAAACGTGTTTCTTCATCTAATTTCACCACATATAAATACAAGACAGGGGCTAAATATTAAGAGTTCTCTCTCTCTTTCCTCTCTTATCAATTCATATAATAAAATCATTCAGCTTCAATTGATTTATCGTCGCCCATAAAGATGAATTTTTCTGCATCATTTGCATTTTGGATGTTCAGACAACCCTGCATAGATACATTTATATGAGTAGCGGCACTAGAATCCATCCACTAAGTTTGTGTAGGTACTAAAACTAAATTAATTTTAGAACAAACCAAAGTGAGAAGTGTACATTTCTTTACACGTCAAGCGTGGTATTTGGTATAGTCTCTCTTCATATGTCCTAGATTCCACACAAAGGTAATAGCTAGATGGTTCATTCTTTCAAGCTTTTGCTTTTTTTTTTTTTTAGCTGAACCAGATGCATCTTCCTTATTCTTTCTTTTCTTGAACCCAAGTAAACAATTTCAATTCTTCTTTATTTTAGCATTTCTTCTTTTTACACACAATATGAAATGAGTTCATTAAAAGTCTACTTCTCCTTTTGACAGTTGTAACTGATCTTAAATTGTAGAATTGTGCGAGAAGAAAAATCAAATCCAAATACATGAGAAAATCACGAGACAGCTCAAACTTTAATGCCTTTAATTTTGAAGCAAGATGAGATATTTCATGATGTACTCCCTTATATTTCCTTTAACTTTATACTTACATGTAACCAAGTTCACCAGAAGTGTATTGATTTCAGTCTTATCGATTTTTGTAAAATGTTTTTCAAAATTTGAAAAAGTTTCTGAATGTTTTCGGAATTCCACACTTATCGAACACAGTGCTCTTGAATGTTTTTGGAATCCACACTTCAAGATCTCAAGACTTATGTGGTTTGAACAATTGCACTTATTCGAGTCTCATTTTTCATCAGCGAAACTCTTATCCGCTAGAGCAGCAAGTTGTTCACTCCTTAATGCATGGTCTAGATCCATGCAGCTAAGAACGATATGGACATTCTCTTTCCAATCTTTAAAAGTTAGTTCCATTAAGCATATGAATAAAGTTGATGTTGGTAGATATTGTAAAATTAGATTAATTAACTGAATAGAGAACAAAAAATAAAAAATATATGTTCACACAAGAATCCATATTAAACAATCAACAAATTAAAATAATGGTGGGTCCATCACATGAGATTGAACACATCATTGACATCTAATTTTTGGACTGAAATATCAACTTGTAAGTGGTACATTTGGTGTAGCAATCAAATATTGACAATAAACCATGTTAAATATTAAGTTTTTCTTTGGACTGACTCAATATTTACATAAAAATAATTAATAATTGTCACATATTTATTATCATAGGTGTGCATATAATTTGGCTAAATATTGACATTTTTTTCGATCCGGTCAATACCCGCATGCATTACGTACACACAACTACCCTAATATTCCAAATATATTAATTTTCACAAGAGAGGTTACTATGGAACATGTTGATTCAACTAATATATTTTAGAATATTAGAAATTAGAGAGAAATTAATTGTATCGAAATTTGAATTTGATTGTTACTCTAAAAATTTTCCGAATCTGTCTAGATTAATACTTCGCTCAAGCGCCCATTGGCGCCTAGTGAGCGGCAGAGTCCCTGCTCTCAGTCGCAAGAGATCATTCAATGTTTATAATATTGAGATTGGGCACTACAACACCCAAACGTGGAGCTGCAACGCTTCATAGCTGTTTCAACTCAGAAAAAAATTCCCAAATAATTTAAAATTTGAGACTAAAATTCGCATCCCAAAATTAAAGAATGCAAAGTATGAATTCGATCCCTAAAATTCCTTATTGATTCTCAATGGTTTAACATCAATGAGCTCTGATACCACTTGTCAAATTTAAAACTTTATAAATCTTGACTTAGAAAATCTTTTACTTTATTGTCAGGTTATCTATGTCTAATCACCAAGAGAATTAAAAGTGCAAAACGTACTTGATCCATTAGGAATTGAGATTAATGACTAGATCTTAATTCTGAATCTTGAATTGTGTGTTCTTCATTAGAAGATTTGCAAGTTCTTGCTCTTTCTTCTTCGATGCACTTTCTCTTGAAATTTTTATATTGATGGGAAGGCACAAAGAATAAGAAGTCACGTACGAATTGGGGACCATAACCCTATAAGATGTTTCCATACGTATTTCAGCCCATCATGAAATACAACCTAAAGAAATCTAGT